CTACTGCTACTGCTAGTGCTGCTACTACTACGACTATTACTACTGATACGACTGCGACTACGACTACGTCGACGACTACTACTACGACCAAGGCTTTTACGATTTCTTCCCAACCCTCCTGCCTTGGGTTCTCGTTTTGAATAGAGCACTGCTCGCGCGTCTCCTTCCTTCCCCCCCCCCCCGTCCCTCTCGTCACCCCTGCCTTCGCTCGCCGCTGCGTGCCAGCTGGGGGGCTGCAATCTGTGAAACGGTCGCCACTTTCGGGGCCTGCTGGGGGGCCCAGCACAGCGGATACACACGGCGGATGGAAATTGTTCCTCGCCATCCCTTGGGGGGGCTGCGATGTGTGAAACTGTCGCCACATTCGAGGCCTGCTGGGGGGCCCAGCGCAGTGGGTACACACGGCGGGTTGAAATTTGACCTCGCCATCCCGGGGGGCTGCGATCTGTGAAACTGCCGCCACTTTCGAGGCCTGCTGGGGGGGGCCAGCACGGTGGGTACACACCGCGGATTCAAACTAGACCTCGCCACCCCTGGGGGGCTGCGATCTGTGAACCTGTCGCCACTTTCGAGGCCTGCTGGGGGGGGCCCAGCACAGTGGGTACACACCGCGGATTCAAACTAGACCTCGCCATCCCTGGGGGGCTGCGATCTGTGAAACTGTCGCCACTTTCGGGGCCTGCTGGGGGGCCCAGCACAGTGGGCACACACCGCGGGTTCAAATTTGACATCGCCATCCCTGGGGTGCTGCGGTCTGTGAAACTGTCGCCACATTCGAGGCCTGCTGGGGGGGGGCAGCACAGTGGGTACACACCGCGGGTTTAACTTAGACTTCGCCATCCTTGGGGGGCTGCGGTCTGTGAAACTGTCGCCACTTTCGAGGCCTGCTGGGGGGGCCCATCACAGTGGGTACACACCGCGGACTCAGATTGGACCTTGCCGTCCCTGGGGGGCTGCGATATGTGAAACTGTCGCCACTTTCGAGGGCTGCTGAGGGGCACAGCACAGTGGGCACTCACCGCGGACTCAACTTAGACCTCGCCATCCCTGGGGGGCTGCGATCTGTGAAACCGTCGCCACTTTCGAGGCCTGCTGGGGGGCCCAGCACAGTGGGTACACACCGCGGATTCAAATTAGACCTCGCCATCCCTGGGGGGCTGCGGTCTGTGAAACTGTCGCCACTTTCGAGGCCTGCTGGGGGGCCCAACACAGTGGGCTTCCCGCACGTCTCTCTCCTGTTCTTCGTTTCCGACTCCCCATGTCCTCTTCGAGCCTGTAGTTGTCGCCCCTCGTTCTTGTATGGTTCTCCTGCGCATCATGCCATAGGCGCGTGTCCCAATTAGCTTACATATCAAACAACGGATCCTGCAATTTGGCTGTCCATGCAAGTTTCGGCCAACTCCTCGTTTCCCATGGTACAAATGGGTTGGGTACATCACACGGTTGTTTCCACTACGGCGACTACCTCTGCTACGCGATGTACTCCGCCGACGACGACGACTACTACTACTACTACTACTACTACTACTACTACTACTGCTACGATCACTGCTTCTACGACGGCTACGACTGGAATTACTACTACTACCCCTGCTAGTATTACTGCTGCTACTACTAATACGGCCATGCGTTACTACTTCTACTACTACTGGCACTACTGCTACGAATGCGACGACTAATGCGACTACTCCTACTGCTACTACTACTGCTACGGCTACTAGTGCTACTGCCACTACTATTAACAGTACTCCTGCTACTCCTTCTACGACTCCTACGTCTACGACTACCGCGACGACTACTATTACTACGACGACTACTACTACTACTACTACTACTACTACTACTACTACTACTACTACTACTACTACTACTACTACTACTACTACTACTACTACTACTACTACTACTACTACTACTACTACTACTACTACTACTACTACTACTACTACTACTACTACTACTACTACTACTACTACTACTACTACTACTACTACTACTACTACTACTACTACTACTACTACTACTACTACTACTACTACTACTACTACTACTACTACTACTACTACTACTACTACTACTACTACTACTACTACTACTACTACTACTACTACTACTACTACTACTACTACTACTACTACTACTACTACTACTACTACTACTACTACTACTACTACTACTACTACTACTACGACTACTACTACTACTACTACTACTACTACTACTACTACGCCTACTACTAATATGTCGAAGCTGACCACCACTACGACCACGAATACGCCGACAACGACGTCGATTGCTGGCTCCACTTCTAAAGCTTCTACAATTTCTGTTCCTCGTGTCCCGTCTGATCCGCCCCTCCCCCCACAAAGGAGCGCAAGATGCCAGGCCCGTATTGAAAGTAGCTCTTGCAGTCGATGACCGTCACGCGGAAGTCGTCCTTGAGCTCCCTGGCTGCCTTCATGCCCCCGAAACCAGCCCCGATGATCCGCGACAGCGCCCCCTGGCACGCTGAGGCGCGGGAACAGGCCGAGTGCTGTTCGGAGATGTACAGAAACCACATGAGCAGAGCACCCTTCGGTTTCAGGGAGCGTCTGTGGAACTCACATCATCCTGACCTCCGGCGCGCGAGATAGTAGGCCCCCCAGCGCACCCCCAGGGCCAATTTCCGTGGATGCGCCCAGGGTGCACCAGGCGTTTCCCAATCTGGCGCCCTCGCTTGAGACATCCTCGCAGAAGTCGCCCCACGGGCCCCTGGCGAGCCCCCACGTATAATTTCCGGGGACGCACTGGGTGCGCCAGGCGTGATCCCATCCCGCACCCTCGCTAGGGACATCCTCGCAAAAACCGCCCTGGGGCCCCCCGTGCGTCCCCAGGGACCATGTCTGGAGATATCTGAGCTGTGCCAGGCGCGCCAGGCGCGCTGGGCGTGCCGCAATCCGGCGCCCTCGCTAGAGACATCCTCGCAGAAATCGCCCCACGGGTTCCCTGCTCGCACCCAGACCATACCCTGAGATCCGACGTAGCGAAGAAATTGCAACATCGTAAATCACGCCTGAGCCTAGCTAAGACCCCATCTTACTGCGCCATGTTTCGAACCAGATCGATCTGGGAGGGTCCCTGGGCCTGCCAAAAAGCGAAAACGCCCAGCGCGGAAAATTGAGACGACAGGATCTCGGGAGATGTCCAGGGATACACCAGGCGCGCCGGGCGCACTGGGCGTGTCCCCATCTGGCACTCTCGCGTGAGGCATGCAGAAATAGCCCCACGACCCATTCCCCAGGACCGGCTTTTCATCCCGAGTCGTTTTTTGACGGCCCCGGGGCCCGGCGAGGACCTCTAGAGGCAGAAGACTCAGAAACACCTCCGTCTTGATTCGTTAAACGCGGTGGATCTCTGGGGCAGGGACCATTTCTGGGGATTTGCACCGGGCGCGCCGGGCGCGCCGGGCGTGTGCCAATCTGGCGCTCTCGCTCGAGACATCCTCGCACGAATCGCTCCATGCCCCCAGCTCGGCGGTTGACGAACCTCCCTTTAGCAAACCTCCCCTCAGTGAAAGCGGCCTGGGACCGAAACCGGCGGACCTGGACCCGCAAAAATTACGGCCGCGACGCCCTCTCGCGAACCGAAAACGGCCAATTCGCTAATCGACGTGTCAGGGTAGGAGGTCTGTCCATCCCCGACAGACGGGCCCCCGGGCACCACGGGCGCCTGACCCGACCCGTGGGGCCGTGTCTGCATGGGCATGCACCGGGCGCGCCGAGCGTGTCCCAGTCCGGCGCCCTCGCTCGAGGCAGCCTCTCAAGAATTGGCCCACGGGCCCCCAGCTCGGCTACACGTCAGAGCGACCCTGGGTAAGAGCGACCTTTGGTGCGCGGCTCATTGGGGGCCGCGGGGGGGCCAAACACAAGCGCGCAAGACGCCACTGCCGCCTCGCGTTCGGCGATCGGGGACCCCAGTGGGCCCGCACCAAAGGTCACTCCGGCGAAGGGTCACTCTTTCGTGTAGTCGACCCCAGCGCACCCCCAGGGACCATTTTCGGGGATGCCTCGGGCAAGCCGGGCGCGCCAAGCGTGGCCCAATCTGGCGCTGTCGCTCGAGACACCTTTGCAAAAGCGCCCCACCGGTCCCTGCCGCGCCCCCAGGAAGAAGAAGGAGGAGGAGGAGGAGGAGGAGGAGGAGGGGAAGGACGAGGACGAGCACGAGGACGAGCACGAGGAGGAGAAGGATGAAAAGGGAGGAAGACGAAGCACGTCGGAGGAGGGAGGAGGGAGGAGGAAGGAGAGAAGACAGGAGAGAGCGAGAATGTGGATGGTGATGCTGAGGAGGAAGAGGAGGTGGAGGAGGAGGAGGAGGAGGAGGGGGAGGAGGAGGAAGAAGGATGACCTCCAGGGACGATCCTGATCCGCACCCGCTTCATGCTCATTCTCATTATCCTGATCCTCGCTCTCCTCGTGATGATCACTCTGGCGATCCTCACTCTGTCGATCCTCCCTTTCCTGTTCCACACTCGCCCGATCCTCACCCTGCTGATCTTCATTATCCTCATCCTCACTGGCCTGACCATCATTATCCACTCCCTCACCTTCCTGCTCCACGCTCACCTGATCCTCACTCGCGTGACCCTCACCCTCCTGATCCTCCCTCTCGCGAGCCTCGCCCTCCTGATCCTCACCCTCCTCATCCTCGCCCACCGCACCACCGCTTCCCGCTCACGCACCTCTCGCCAAAAAAAGCAAGCTCCCGTTTGAGACAAGCGCGCTCCACTACTCGCAAATCAACGACTCGCAAATGGCCCGGATCTGCCATGGGGGATCTGCGATCCAGTACATCGAGGCAGACATGTGTGTTCGGGACATTTGCGAGTAGGCACTTCGCGAGTAGCGGAACGCGTTCGGTGACCATTCGATGTTACAGAAACCCTCCTCCTCCTCCTCCACCTCCTCCTCCTCCTCATTCTTCTTCTTCTTCTTCTTCTTTCTTCCTCCTCCTCCTCCTCCTCCTCCTCCTCCTCCTCCTCCTCCTCCTCCTCCTCCTCCGCCTCCTCCTCCTCCTCCTCCTCCTCCTCCTCCTCCTCCTCCTCCTCCTCCTAGCCGCCGCCCCGGTTCAGGCTTTGGGCGCTGCTACCAGGTAGCAGCGAGCACGAGCAGGGACAGCTGCCACACTTGCGGGCCCTTACTTTCGCGCACGCCCCTAGACGCGCGCATTGGGCCGACCGGGATCAGTCAGTCTCAGCCACGGTTCCTGCGAGAACCAGAGGCATCGAACCGTCCTGGCACAGAAGGGAGCGTGCCGAGCGCAGCCGAGCGCGCACCCTAATCAGAGTTGCTACAGTCATTAATTTGTTGAGCAGCCACCAGCGCCAATAGAGACGGGAAGCAGCCAGCATACATGTTTGAATATCGTGATCGTTCTCGCAGACCGAACAGATCGCAACAGCAGCCGCAGCGTCCTCCTTGGCAGCAACAGCAGCAGCATCAAGCTCCTCAGACAAAGTAGTTTCGATATAGAAAGACATGGGAATGTCCAGCATGTACTTACGCGATTCCATGGGGAGCTAATACATGCAGACAGTGCCATCCGAGCAGAAGGCACGATCCCGCAGCATCGGTCTCAAGCAGCGGCGGATGGCAAAACAGGAGATCTCCTCGTACTCCCTCCCGATCGAGAGTAGCGTCCAGCACGAGGAGAGCCTCATCCATGCAGCCAGCCACGACATCATCGCCGCCGTCTGATATCGAAGAACAGCCCAACTACGCCTGCCAGCCCCGAGATCGCCATGGCGCACAGAAGATGACAGGAACCACCGACAGATCCACAGCACTCGGGAGATGTCAGACGCGCGTTAAGTGGTACGATGGATGGAGTGGGGCGACAAGCCAGATGTGCCACGGATCTGAATCTCGCCCCAGACCAAATCAACGCGCTGAAAGAAGAATGCCCAGTCTTCCTGTACCAGATGATGCACTCCAGGTCACCGCAGGTCAGAGTTTTCAAGCAGACCCGACGTGTCAGCAGGTGCCGCCGCCGCCTCGCAGATGCTCATGCCAGATAGACGGATCTGGAGGTAGAGCTAGAAGCCGCGCATGCTCAGTGTGAAGACCTACAGCAAGAACTCACAGCAGCAGCAACAGCAGAAGAGCTTCTCGAACATTTCGAAGACCTTTCCAAAGAAACTCAGGAACAACGTGAATCACGTGGACCAATACGCACGTTAGCATTCGATGAGGCAGGTGACGCCAACATGACCGACGATGAGGATGCAGCCCCGCTCAGACGAGGGCGACATCAGAGTACGTCACATGCAGCCAAGCAGCCAGTACCGCGGCCTCAGCAGCTTCACCCGCAGGTAGCACAGCCTGGAGGAGCCCAACCTGGAGGAGCTACCGCCGCTCCATCAGCAGAGGCCAGTTCTAGTACTACACCAGCGGTGCTGGCAGCACTGCAGTCTCAGAATGCACTACTCATCGACTCAATGAAGAAGTTCCAGGAGACCGTCACTCACATGGAGAACATCAAGTCGGCAGCCATCGACGCTGCCATCGCGGCTTCCAAGAAAGCCAAGGCCAAGATCACGACGCAAGCTGAAGAACAAGCTGCAGCAGGACGCGCCAGACTTCAAGCAGTACTACGCGGTGAGCTTCCATCTCAGCATGCATCGCCAGCCACGACTGCAACACAGCCATCAGCTCAGACACCAAGATCCACACGTATTGGCGCGCGCTCGGCTTCCCCAAGGCGGCAGCAGACATGGGAATCGGAGGCCGACATACGACGAGACGACGGTGATGGAGTACTCGGCACAGGCACCGAGACTCTAGTCGCCAAGGACATCAGTGACTTCGAGGGCGAGCGACCCCTGAGTCACCCAGGACCTATTGGTCCAATGGAGGCGGCAGCCTCCTTCCCTGCGCCGCCAGCATCAGGCAGCCAAGTTGTTCGCTAACCAACTCGTTTGATCACCCAGAGCTGGGCTCACTCAGTGCTCAGCAGCGTCTGGCTATTTAGAAGAGCCCAGTGTTTCATTCAGATCGGCTCGTCCAGCCTCAGGGGGTACAGCAGCGTGACCCCCCCCAGCCCGCCCCGGGCACTCCTGATATCCCTGTTGTAGGTCCCATACGTGGCTTTACCCGTTCTCCTCTTCCTCCCCTCCAATGCACCGAGGAGTTCCTCGAACGACCCTGGGCCCTGGAATGTCCCAAAACCTACTATCTCTGGCGCCCTTTTGGCACTCTGCTACTGTCAAAGGACTGGGGGATCTACGCGAATACGACCCCACCAGAGTGTATACAAGGTACGAAGTCTTTACTGACGCGACCTCAGGAAAATTCAAGCACAACACTCAACACTGTGCCCCAGCATGGGCCTTTTGTGTGCTAGCTATTTCTGCAGCAGGAAGTGCACTGGTCGGTTACATGGCTGGACCAGTCCCAGACGTTGAGGCGACGGGCTCGCTTGCCCCGCTCCGTTCGGAGATTGAAGCAGCCATCTGGGCCATTGCAT